AATGCAGGTCAAATTTTATTGTAAATTTCTTCCCCATTTCTAAGCAAATGTTTGACTTGAAATATTTAATCAATTGTAAAGCAACTTTAAACAAACGCTGACTGACTTCTGAACAGACATGGGCCACTGAGTGATTCCAAAGTGTAAAAAAACCTCCCACAACCACTGCATTACAGTCAGGGCCTCTTTTGGCCCTCAGACCCTGACAAAGTGAGTTCCCCAATAACAGAACAGAAACAGTCCAAGTCCCTGCATGAAGACTCAAGCCATCACGACATTCATTTCCACTCTTCACACCACAGGTTCACTTCCAGTCTTATTTTCTCTTCCCCACTGGCATTCTGTATTAGTCAGACTTCTCCTTCTCTTTCATGTGGAGGAAAACTACGCTGAAGACAAAGAGTCCAGCCATCATGGAGAAGACACTGGCATAGTATGGGTAGGCTGAGGGGATGAAGCGCTCATACTGGGTGTGCTGCAGAGGACGCACCGATACCTACGGTGGAGAAACACAACTGGATTAGTTAGCAAGCCATACAGCACATCAACTAATAGGTTACTATGTTACTATTACAACAAATGATTGATAAAAGAACAGAGGTAGTAACCAGGATGATTAATTGAGCAATACTTTCCATATTTACCATTTCTATACATTTATCTTATAGTAAATAAACTCAACATGACTCAGTCTTTAGGAGGGAACTTCTGATGAACTTGCCTGAGTGGAGGAGTAGAGATGTGTATATCCTAGTCGGTTATAGTCCACTTTGAACTGGAAGACTCCATACACATCAGGCAGCTTGAACTGGACACTGTATTTACCTCCTAGTTGAACAACAATGGAACATTTATCATAAATGCAGTTTGTAAATATGACGAGAATATGAAGTCAATCCTGCCAAACATTATAAAAACAATACATGTAGGTTGTAAACAAGACGTAAATGAATGTAAATATATTCTATAATACAATACCATACCATTTTTCTTGAGATAAGTCCGGACGAAGGGATCGATCCTCACAAACTCAAGCTGGATATCATCTCCGTCGAATGGGATCCAACGGCCCTCGGACAACATCTCAATGACAATGCTGTATTCCTGCATGAAAAGGGTTTACAGTGATTGAGCGACACTGCATTAAAAACAAATATCTTCACGGTGATGATAACAAACAGACAACAAGACCCACCACGAGGTCGGTGATTGTGTATGCTGTGGGGGCGTCGGTCTCCCCCACGCGATGATGGGTAACAGCTCCCACTCTGAGGACTCCAGCCTCCTTGAACACCCAGCGAGACAGAGCCTCGGCCAGCTCCATGTTCCCTGTCCGCTCGTGCCTGAAAAAGCCCACAAGGACAGGGAACACTGACATCTGTAACCAACTATATTGTAACCAAATCTAATATCAGTGACTAGTTATTACAATCTTACATTTTAAGGCTGTTTTCCACCTACAGATTAGCTTTAGGAGGTCAAACGCACTAAACTGCAAACTCAGTGGAACACATTCTAAGCATCTAAACTTGCAGAAATCTCCAGTAAATGTGTTTGAACTTGTAACATTCACATGGCAGAAAAACAAGCCAGGCCATCACTGACAGGAGTACCTCTGTGAACCTGGTGTGGCTTTCTGCACAGCAGAGTTGAAGAAGGCATCGCTGAAGAAGTCCAAGGAGCCACTAAACACCACTCTGGCATTGTTTCGAGCCTGAAGGCCAGCGATCAGCAGGGTGTTCTTGCCAACAGCGTGGGGGTACTACAGCATTAAAAAACACAAAACAACAACAACATTAAAAAAGTAAAATTAACTTAGTACCTCCTGTCCCCAAACGGTCATGGCCAATAGCTGCCCCTCCCTGAGCGTGGTTGTGCATGAGGTTTGGTCCTGTTAAAAGGGGTGATACCGAGAAGTTTTTCTTCTCACTATCAAGTGTTTGCTCATAGCAGGTCATCTGATTGTTGGAGCTTTCCTCTTCACAATACAATATAAAATGCCTTGAGGTGACTGTTGTTGTGATTTGATTCTCTCTATAAATAAAATCAAATTGAAGTGAACTGAATATCCATTCAGGCTAATAATAGTTATACAAGAATCTCAACTCAACTTGTTTATTATTGGACTTTACCAGCGTAATTTTGCGTTAAAAATAGTTGAAAATAATCCTTAATCATCTCATACTGGGCTTGGTGCTGCCCTGTGGTTCATTCTGCCTGAACAAAGCAGTTTTAGCTCCACCCTTTGTTCTGAAACTTTGACCACGTTATACATCGCGGAGAAAATGAGGTAGTGCACAATAAGCTTGTCTTTTTCTTCCAAAAGCATTACTGCACAATTTTAATTTTAAAGGGCTACTTATCATGCCGGGACAGTTTGTCCTGAATAAATCATAATTCATTACCTGACATTATCATGACATGTCAACAGTATTACCTGTGAGATGGGTCTGTCAGGGAAAAAGGAGTAGGAGGTGGAGGACCCAGTAAGGATGTCCAGGACAAGAGGGTTGTCTGGGTCTGCCACCATGCTGGAAGAAGTGAGCCACATTCAATATATTTTCCACTGAGCATGGGAGTTAATCTTTTACAATGACTAAAAATCTAACAACACTATCTGTTACATCTTCTGACACAAGTCTCTGCTCCAGCTAAAAGGATGAATTTATCATTTATTACACATCAGTGTGAAAATCACTGTGCTTACCCGACACCCTTGAATAAAACAGGTTTCTTGGTGGGTTTGCCGACAATAGTGGGAGCTTTCAGCAGGTTCTCTGGGTCAGCGACAATCAGGGTATGCTGGAGTTACAAAAGATCACAAATTACAACAACATAACAAAACATAAAATGGCAGCTGTGTAAAGGCCAAGCCATTTACCTCTCCAGGATCAGACACATCATAGTTGTGATGATCAATGACGGCAGTCTTTTCCTCGTCAAACTCAATGCCACACTCACTTCCCAGCTCTCTCAGAGGGTCGCCTGTGAAACAAGAACAAAACAAAAATACTTGAATGATCATACTTAAACATTTCAAATAATATACGACTTGAACAAACACTGTTATAAATCAACTGACCGATGTCTGAACTTGCAGCAACCAGGACATTGCCCCCACCGTCAATGAAGGATGTAATAGTCTCCACATTTATATTTCCACCAAAGTCTGCGGATGACAAAAAAGTGTTTACCTTCAGGAAGAAATCACCTGCCACAATTTATTTATTTTTTGTTTTAACGCTGCGAAACTCACCTTCAACTGATGGTGAGAAGATAATTAAGTGGTCATACAGGAACTGGCCATATTTGATCAGCGACAGGGAGGGATCATCAGCGGTCTTGAAGGTGAGGTCAAATCCACGGTCTGAAGAAGACAGATGCATTATAATTAACAGTAACAATGGTGTACTAAGGCTAAAGTTTTAACACAGTGGTTTTTGAAAATTAGGACATGTTTACTACAACAGGATACAGCAAAGGTGTGCAAGCACTGATGTTATCTCTAACAAAAGCATGCAATATCCCCGAGTATTACAAAAAGTTGTATCTTCAGACAAAGCGTTTTGTTTTACATGTCTTCTTAAAACAGTAATAACCCAAACTGTATGAACTCCTCTTTTGAAGACTGTTGCCTAATCAGGAAAGTGGATTTCTCCCACTACTGTACCTACCAGCAAACCAGAAGAGCAGAGGAGCGGAAATGCAAATATGCACGGAAATGCATAGTATTATTTAAATAATTTTAACAACAACAGCATCGAGCACATCTTCATTTATATAATTATATTACACTGAGTTGTAAGAGGCTCAAATTACGTTAGGACCGCGAACACATTACAGCTAAGCTAATGTTAGCATTCTTGCTATCGTGCATCAATTTCTGGTCTAGCAGCGGCTTTTTGTTAGCTGCCAAAAACTTGCTGATGCCCGGTAAACGAGGCATATATACGACTGCATAGCAGAGTAAGTAAAGCTGCAAAAAATAGTATTATCATACTGACCTGCCAGACTGCGGAAGAAGATTGAATGGGTGTCTTTGATGTTGAGGTTGTCCAGCAGCACCAACGTCTTACCGTCAGCCAAAGCACAATGCAGCACGGAGGCTAACGACAGCAATAAAAGGACGCCATGGTCCAAAAGCTTGAACCGCCTCATTAACACCGTTCCGGTTCGTTTTTTGGACGATGATAAAGAACCGGACCGGTTCGTCTGCATGACTGCTGTCAGCGCCGCCATTTTGCTGCAGAAGTCGACGTCAGCGTTAGCAGTTGACTAAACTCTGACCCTAAGAGGCAGCCAATCACAGAGCGGAACGCGTCGCTCTGACTGCCAGTCAACCAATAGCGTGAGAGCTTCATTGTAAGCCTGGCAAACAGGTAAGTCCAGGCATTGAAATATAAATATGCACATTTTTACTGAATATTTACAACAAAAACGGCGTTTAAACGACTTAAAGGATTATGCCTTTCAGCTGTCATTTAAGTTATTTCTGTTTTTAAATAATAAGCAAGGCACATAAGCCTTTGTTATTCTTTTTATTTATTTTTAGTAAAAACAAGAGCACAACACAAGCAGTGGCAATTCTTTATTGAGCTGATGGCATCTTCCAGTAAAAGTAGTATTAGGGGTTTTATCCAAGCATTCTGCAGACAAATTAATGACACAAAAATCAATAGTGACACAAAAATGTCTTGTGACATTTGTCAGTTTGTCGTCACTGTACACAAGTCTAATCTTTTCAGAGGTAACATGACAAATATACAAATATTATCCAAACACAAGATTTACAACACCTTGCTTCTGTAAAAAGGCATCAAGTGTCCTTTACTTTAGTTTAGTACTCATATATGTTCATGTAGATAGCCTTTGAATAACATTCTCTGCATGAAAATACTTTAAGTACAAGAAAAATATTTTGGATGTTTAAAGAAAATGATTATATTATTATTTCATCATAAAAATGGGAAAAATATCACATAGAATTTTTTTCTTTAAGTTATACTGGGTAAGACAGACTTTAAAATGTTTTATATAATGGACGAAGCACAGTCCTACACTGAAGTCTAAAAATAAACTACACAAAGTAGCATAACCGCCTCTCAACGTTTACAAAAACTACTAGATCTCACCTTGTTTGCTGAAAACAGGACATGATTACTGATCACAAATCTGGAAAGAATTTTTTTTCAGGAACAGTGTCTGTTATGAATCCAGTTCATATTTAACAAAACTCATAAACACACTTCATTTCTTACTTCTCCTTATACAGTATAAATCTCATTTCATTTACAAGCAAAATGACACACACTTTTAACAAATCTGTCCCACTACGACTGCCTCTCACACTCCATCTCCTGCTCCTTGTCCTCCTCTACATCTTTTTCATATGTTTTGATCTCAGTGGTGGTCTCCACCTGTCCATCCTCCACCTTCTCCTGAACTTCCTGTTCTGATTCTTCTTGTTCTTGCTCCTCTCCAATCATCCCGTCCTCTGTTTCTCCCTCTCCAACCTGAGCACGGAAGATTAGCTCTCCTTCGTGGATGACCTGTTCGGGTGTGGGTTGCCATGTTGCAGTGGAATCCCCCTCGGCAGTGGTGGCTGCGGTGTACTGGTAGAAGTCGGAATCTGCCTGAAACATGACCAGGGCTTGAGCTGTGTGGATGCGTACGTGCTGAGCTAAGGAGCTGGCATCCAAGAATTTATCGCCACACGAATCGCAAGCGTACAAAATCTGCGTGTTGGGATCTGAGAAGAGAAGAAGGTTTCATGAACAAACGAACCATTTTTCAATCTGTGTCCTGTTCTGTGTAAGAAAAAGGAACTGGCTTCTGATGAAGTTTACGGTACTGTTTACAGTACTGTAATAATACTTCTCATTGAGACCATTTAGATGGTTATGCAAGTAGCTGTGTACTTCAAAATCTGTCTCACATACTCATACGTACATATTCAGCTTCTTTTACTGATTATTGTTTTCAGGGTCAATAAATGGACTTCAGCTTATAAGCGTAACACTCCATACTGCTACTCCCCCAAACCATGTCTGATATTCTGTTGTCATTCATAACATTACATGTTTTTATAATGCCAGGTCTTACCTGCTTCTTGCACTTTCTCCACGGCTTTGGTGATTTCAGCTTTCAGAGCTTCAGTCTCATCTGCAGAAACCGAAGCAGCCACTGGAACTACTGTTAACAGACACAAACATTGTCACCGTCTGTGCCTCACAGCCATCTATAAACATCTGTGTTGTTGATTACATTCTAGCCTTGACGATGTAGTCTGACCTGTCAGCTGAGCAACAGAACTGGCCGCCAGGGCCTCTGTCGCCAGTGTGACGATGTCCTCCGTGGTGACAGTGACGATGTTGATCTCGCTGTCAGAGGTGCATGGCCCCGCTCCTCCATCACCCAACTCGTCTGAGCTTCCCTCTGACACCACCAGCCGCTTCATGCCGGCCTTGCCTTGGTGCACAGTCTTGACGTGAGAGCGCAGATTGTCCACGCGATTGAACCCCCGACCACATTTATCGCACAGGAACGGCTTCTCTCCTGAGACAACAAAACAAAGATAAGTAGTCAATTGACGGTGAAAGATCAGAGTTCTGCTGGATGGATACAGATGTGGTGGGAAACAGACTTAACTGCTCAACAGGTGAACCCTCACTCTCCCAAAAAAAAAAAAAGCCTTGTAACAAATTTGTTCTTCACCTGTGTGAATGATGATGTGCTTCGACAGGTCTCCCACATTAACAAATGCCTTGTTGCACATCTGACACTTGTGCGGGCGGACGTTGTCGTGATGGCGAATGTGATTGGCCAGTTGACTAGACTGCACAAACCTGCACAAAAACATATATATGATATTTCCTCTCATCTACTTTACTGACACATTTATTCATTTTGTTCATAAGAAAATAATCTTTTAAACAGTATTTTAATCTCTAATTTGGTCAATCTCAGTACTCTCACTATCATTTGAATGAACTATAACAGGTCACTGTTACTTGACCTTTGAGAATGACCACAAATCTATATTATCTTCAATTCTCATTACCGCCTACACAAGTCAAAACCTCTAAACTACACTTAATATTCCCCTCTCAAACATCCCTGTTAAATAATGCCAGTTTCTATACCTCAGCTACAAGTGAGTTTGAAACCTGAGCCTATCATTGCAGCACTGTGCCGTGCTGACCTTTTACCACAGCGATCGCAGACGTAGGGCTTCTCTCCCGTGTGCTGGCGGACATGAGCGATGAGGGAGCTGGCCTGAGTGAAAGCTTTACCACAGATAATACAGACACAGGGCTTCTCTCCTGCAACATATAAATAACTGTTTCACTATCGTGGGAAGTAGATAATATTCACACAGGGATTCAGATGGAAGAATGAAAATAAGTTCCCCAGAATCCCCAGAGTACCTGTATGGATGCGCTCATGCCGCTGCAGAGCTCCGGGATCACTGAAAGCTCTCTGGCAGTGCCCGCAGACGTACGGTTTCTCCCCGCTGTGAACCCGCAGGTGCCTCTTCAGATTCCCTAAAAAGCAGGTATTAGTACACACAGATTAGACCAAATGGCTCAAAGAAGAAAAACAATTCTACATAGTAACACACCAACTAAAAGCAATTAAATAATTTTGTTCATGTATGGTCTAACTATTGGACATCACACTTTATTTTA